ATGATCCATCAAAGACTGTTCAGATTCAATGAAACTTGGTTTAGGGATTGACTGTTTTTACAACCTCCTTGAATTGTTCTTGGGAGAAGATTGATGTCTGTACTTTTCCCAACTTTAATTAAACGCTGCCAATGTTGTGTCACAGAAAATGCAATTGATAACTGCATCACACGAATTCTGTTCTGCCCTGTAAGATTAACGGAGATGTACTTTAGGAGAGTACACTTGTTTTCAATCTCCAGCTCAAAAAATTAAGATATTTTGACTGCTCTCTTGTAGTATTAGATTAGATGTGGATAATGTTGTCCAGCTTGTTTACATCAGCTGGCCTGCTGACATAGGGGATGGGAAGGGGAGGGTTTAGTTGACAAGCTCCACGTGTCCTGTCAGCCCCATATTACTGCCCTGATAAGGACAATGAGGGAGATACTGATGTCAGAGAGAATCTCCAGGCGTTTTATCAAACTTAGAAAAGAGCTACAGGGGTCAAGTATAGCGCTTAGTGTCCTGGGCCCACTTGTATAAAACATCTCAAAGTTAAGGAAAATCTCAAGCAATGTATTGTCTATGGGAAATCTTAGACTTGAGGAAATCTCAAGAGTTGAGATGTTTTATACAAGTGGGCCCTGATGTGTCTGCAATATAGTATTAGAATCATTTCAACTGAAAGATATTTTACAAGTTTTACTTTTATTACATTGGATTATCAGTGACTAATGATAACCATTGATGACAGTTGCTGTTAACATAGAACCACAATAAGAATGTTTGTATATATGTAGGAGTATTACGTCAGTACTGTTATGAATGGGTATATGTCTGTGTGATAGTTCTATATACATACTAGTAGCCGACAATAGTGCATGTTCACTACTGCCATGTAATCCAGGTCAAGAGGTCTGTGTAGATATGAGTAGTTACAGGACAAGTGTTGTGGTTACCTCATCACAAGCTTCCTTAATGGCTGCCTCTAACCTGTAAGTACACACTAATGGCTTCCCTATAGACTGACACCGTCCTGTGTTTCACAGGTACTAAAGCATTAAATGCTTACCCTCTTTCCTGTTCTTTGATGAATTCAGGCCCCCTCCCTCCACTGGTTTATTTATTTCCTTTTTAGCTCTTATACAAAGTCTCTTCTGACTTTTCTTACCCAATATGAGTCAAGACGATATGAGTCAAGACTATATGAGTCGAGACGACTTTGTACCAGATTACAGATGACTGTGTTATGCAATACATATTCTGATGTACAAGACTTTAGATGACTATGATTTGTAAGACTCTACCGTCACTGTACCCAAATCAGGATGGTACCCAAAACGGGACACTTATGGGAAAACAGCCCAAGAAACTGTCATTCAAAGCAAAGAAGCACTTTTATGTATACAGTTTTTGCATTTTCCTATAAAAGACTAGATGTCTTTATCTTATACTAGAGTTTAAATGATTTTGTCATATAAAGATTGTAAATTGTTCTTTTCTATACAAATTGTCTAGACGACCTTGACCTTACAGCAACTTACATTTCATGTAACAAAATATATGTATTAAAGAAATGCTGTAAGTGTGTTTACCTAAAACCTGAATTAGTGAATCTTTCTCTAGGTTCTGGTGGCAAGTGTATATTTCAGTAACAAGCTGGTGTTTAGTGACTGAGGGATTCCAGGACAAACAGCGATGGAACTGTGATCAATCTATCGCTGTGTTAAAAGTCCATTCTACATATAACAGGATCCTAGTAAGCAACAGTAATCTTTATATAAGATTGGGTTAGACCTCTCCACAGTTAATGTTTCTGTAGACTACTAAGCGCCAAACAGGATCAATTCTGGCTACTAATGGAATTTCCTTGTGGCATTTGTTGTTGCTTCAGAACTTGGGTTTCAACATGTGAATGGAGTGTGAACAACAGCATTGATACATGTGTATTGTGACAGAATACTGATCATATGCAAGGTTTCTTATTACACAACCAATAAGTGTTTCTATGTGACGTTCAGAAAATTGTCAATATAAAATTAAAAGAATATTGGAAGACGGAGGGGTCAATTTCAGTTTTGAGGGGTCAATGACCCCTGGCTCCCTCTAGGATTATCCCTGATGATTGGTCCTTCCCATCTTCTAGATACCAGAAACTTGACAAGGATGTCATCTAGAATATTTAGGATTGTTGTTAATTATGGTAGATTTACAATTTAGAATAGCACAGATGTCTTATTGATCTTGTGGTATCCATCTATGTGATCTGTAAGGACAGTAAATCACAGCTATACTGTCAGAAACCAGGTTTATTCAATTGAATGACCTTGACTTATATTCAAGGTCACAGGGGTCAATTGTCTTAAAAAACTGTATTCAACTTCTTCTGAATAACCAAAAGGACCAGTATGGTGATATTTGGTCAGTAGCTTGCTGGGATGAAGGGCTACCAAGTTTGTTCAAATAAATGACCTTTGCCCATTTTCAAGGTCACAGGGGTCAAATATGTTAATATCTTTAAACGATTTCTGAAGAATATCCATAAGGCCTAGAATGTTGATATCTGGTCAGTAGCATTCTGGGGTTAAGGGCTACCAAGTTTGTTCAAATTAATGATCTTGAATTATTTTCAAGGTCACAAGGATCAAATATGTTCAAAATCTTTACCCAACTTCTTCTGAATAACCAAAAGTCGCAGGATGATGATATTTGGCCCGTAACATGATGGGATGAAGGACTACCAATTTTTTTCAAATGAATGACCTTGAATTATCAAGGTCACAGAGGTCAAATTTGTTAAAATCTTTAAACAACTTCTTCTGAATAACCATAAGGCCTAGAATTTTGATATCTGGTCAGTAGCATGCTGGGATTAAGGGCTACCAAGTTTGTTAAAGTGAATGACCTTGACTGATATGCAAGGTCACAGGGGTCAAATTTGTTTGAAATATTTAAACAACTTCTGATGAACTACCATGAGGCCCAGAATGTTGATATTTAGATGAAGGGCTATCAAATCATTTGAATGACCTTGACCCACTTTCAAGGTCACATTTGGTCAGACGATTATAAACCTTTAAATGACCTAATCTCATTAAATAAAAGGTCTAGGGTGGTGATATTTGGCAAGTGCATGCTTAGATGAAGGCTATAAAGTTTGTCCAACATATTGACCTTGTTCGACTTTCAAGGTCACAGGGGTCAAATATTTTAAATATTTTAACATGTTGGTTTGAATGACTAATAGTCATAAATACTGATATTTTGCCAGTAGCTTTAGTTTAGATCACTTTTAAGGTTACAAGTGTGAGATTAATACCAGGTGAGCGATGCAGGCCCAATTTGGATCTCTTGTATTAGTTGATTGAGGAACATCATTTCCAGATATATAACCTAAATTTAAGAATCTTGTACGGTGATATTTACTAAGGGATATCAATTCCAAGTGAAAAATAGAAACTTTTGTAGAAATATCATTCAGTAATATTAGCTGATGGTTGACATTTACATGTGAACAACCAAATAAGGAATTGTATTTCAGGAATATTAGTCCTAGACATTTCCACATGTGCATAGGAAAAAGGAACATAATTCAGAAAGATCATCTGAGAGAAGTTATTTCTATGTACGTTGGAGCTAGAGAAAGTCATTAAGTTATACATGTAATACTGGAATAATTACAGAGAGTCGAGGATTTATTTGGAACTCAGTTATTTGAGTCTAGGGCCTGTATTTATGAAACCGTTCTCATGCTCAATTTCAAATTCTGTGCTCTATCCCAATTCCTTGTTCCCACGATAAATAAATAACAAAATTATATATTGTCAAATATGTGGAAGAATTTCAGAGAGACTAAAAGCTGAATACTGTATCCATTGTCCACACTTGTCTTTTTGACCATGTGACATGATTTAAGTGTGTTAAAGTGTGTTAAAGAAGAATCCATGCTGGAGCATGAGAACGGTTTGATGGATACCAACCCTAGGCTCGTGCTTCCCATAGGGACTCGCCAAATTTTGAGAACCCTCTTTGTCTCTTTGAAATGGGTCTTGTCAATATATTTTGTAAAAAAAGCTTGTGCAGGACTCTGCTGGAAAAAGTTCCCCAAAAATCACTAAGATTCACATATTTATACCAGTACATTAATAAAACCATGACCTGTCATTCACCAACATTTCTATTTTAGTCTCAGATTTCCTCAAAACTACGATTTCCAATATATCTAATCGGCAATAACAGAAAACACGCTATTTGATTTATAAGTCTTTTATGGAAGCAATCTGATCAGCAGCCATATAAAATCTTCATGATGGCTGACGTAAATTACTGAGTACAAACAATGGAGCTCATCTCCACATCAACGCAAGTTAATGTTATTTTTTCTCCATAACAAGATTGAAATGCAGGAGACTCCAGACAATCAATCTTACTGAAGATTGGATAAAAAAAAAAATCCTTAAATGTATTGTGACTTTCTTGGATAGTGGATTGGAAAATATTTGTAAAAATTATTCAGATGATTACACGACAAAGAAAATATGAACTTCACCACCTGGCAAAACAATTAATATTCCCTTTCTAATGAATAACGATATGTTTGTATTATACAAACTCCTTGGAAGAATCTGTCTCTTGCATCATCACCTGTCTTGTGTGTCACCCTCTGTCTTGTGAGTATCCGTCAGTCTTAACTCATTCACCCCTGAAGACATATTCGAACTCTTCAAATTCAAAGGTTGGAATAGTTCTTTGTAAAATTTCAGGGGTGACTGAGTTAAATGATCTTTATGAACTCCCAAACACTTCTTGTTTCTTAGGCTTAGGCAGCCTATGCATTGAATTCATTTTCCTTTTACATTGTATATAAGAATTCTGTTTTCATGAACAGATATGCTGAACAGATTTAACAATAAAATCACATCTAGGCACACCATCTAGAACTAGATCCTTCTTTTTTCAAAGGACGAAAGAAAAACCATATATATTATGTAAAAAAATAATTGTTCTCCCATTTCCAGTTGTGAGGTTACAAACCCATCACCATGGGAACAACAGCACGAGACCTCCTGGACTTCCTGGAGGATGCGGAGCTATCCCAGTACTACTGCGCCCTGTCCTCAGAGCTCAAGATCTCAACAATTCTTCAGCTCAAGTATGTAGAGGAGGATGACCTTTTCGGGATCGGAATGACAAAACCGGAGATGAGGCGTCTCAAACGACACTACAAAAAGGAATGTCCACAGGGCGCTCTAGGCAGACTAAAAAAGGTGATTATCTTACGGTTAATAAAAGAAGATTCTGATAGACAAGGAAGTGCTCATTGAGGATGATTATATTCAAGAAATGAATTAGGCCATAATAAATTATTTGCTAGATTCTCATCCCCGCCCGCCCCCTCTTTGAGGCCCCGCCCCAATTTTTTTTATTTGCAAAAAAAAAAACGAAAATACGAAATACAGATTTTTTTTCCGTTTTCCGCTTCAAAAATTAGTTTTATATTATCAATTTCCGGTTGTAGAAAACTCGTCGTCTGCAATATGTTTTTTGTAATTCTAAAGCTGAAACGGCAACTTGCCGTTCTGAAAGATTGGTATGGGTGTTCAGTAGCCGATACTAAAACATTAATGCAAGTCTTTCATGAATTAGCCGAAGGAACAATTGACAAATCTGCGCCCGTCGAGTGTGGTAACAGGGCCGTTGTGTCGGTGCTGATACAGAAGAGCAGTCGGCAACTGCCATTGCGAAATCCGACGCATTTACAATTTTAATGTCGGGATTTTCTAAAACAACAATGACAAGGTCACTGTAATTAAAAGAGGACGATATGTGAAAAAGTAATGTGGTGTGTATTCATACCAAAAGTTAGTACAGATATATATGTGGACTGAACAGTGAAATGGTGTTCAATGTGTATACTGCATACTCAAAGTTGTTATTAACAAAAAATAAAGATAAATGTACACTGAACATGCGCCTTTATTGCACTATTTTAACACATTTGCAACCATTTCAAATTTTAGGAAAAATAAAAAATAAAATTCGCCCCCCCCCGCCCCAATTTTGAAATGAATTTGGATGAGAATCTAGCAATTAATTTATTATGGCCTTACATATTTTTCTTCATCCAGAAAATTTGATCATTTCTCTTAAAGAATGGAAAAATTGTCCAATTCCAGACTCTTTTATTATCAAAACTGATTTAAGACAGTCTTTAAATTAAATTTAAGAACCACAGTCTGTACAGGTGAGCTATATATACACACCTTTATAGCTAGTTAACATGTTAACACTGATACACACCTGTAAACACTGATACACACCTGTAAAATACAGGTATACACTTGGCCTCCGAGGTACAGTCTAGACCATATATGTCTTTAGGTGACAACTGTATTTACTTTCTAAGGAATTAAAGTTAGTCTTGTGTCTGGTTCAAGGTTTCGACTAATTGAATTATTCAAAAGTTTATGTCATATAAATGGACTGACAAAAGTGAACATATGCTGTCTTCTTCATTAGAACAGGATTATGCCCCTTGGCATTATTACAGTAATCTCCCCTTAATTTCGTTTTTGATATAACTGTAGCAGAGCTGAGCCAACACACTGCCATTGCCCAGCTTGCTCAGTTGGTTAGAGCGACAGTATTCAAACCGAGATCCAGGGTTTTAATCCTGGTCTAGCTCCGCTAAACTTTTACACACAGAACATTTCTGTTGATTATATTTTATGTATATCCCCTTCATTTTTTATTCATAAAAGCCCACATTTTTGTATAGTTGCAGTTTTTGGCAGTAGTATGGGATCCTTGACATAGACGTTGGAAACTAATTTCTCTCTGTCAAAATTCCAGCTCCTTCCTGGAATAGATTCATAAAGTTTTCAATTTCACTAATCACATTTAGTCAACAATCCCTTTTTACTCTATCAGAATGGCAACATATTGGTGAGGTTTATAATGCATGTAAATTTTTAAATCTTGAATATAAATATAAGGAAAATATACCCTCCATGAAATGTAAATGTACTATCTATACAGTATTTCCTTTGATTGACATGGTAGGAATGTAACCATCTAGTTGTCTTATAATGTTAATTGAATGATGTTTATTTACATCACATCAGATCTCTGAAATGGAAATTTAGTCAAGTTTTATCAAAATCATTTCTATTTGAATTGAGTGGATACTGATATCTGAAAAATCTTTGGATGATTATTTTGATCCTTTATGACAATGTAGACTTAAAATATGCAAAAAATAATTCTACACAAATATACTTCGATGTGGTTTCAGATTAATATCAACACTTTGAATAAAAACTGAAACTCATACCGCCACGGCTGCCATTTTAAAAAACTATTTCAAACTTAAAGTCAAGTTCTGCTGGGCCGATTGAAATTTGGTAGAATCGATCGACTCATGGTCCTGACAAAGTGTTGTTATTTATCGAGTCAATCAGAAATCCAATATGGACGACACGGACGCCATTTTGAAAAACTATTTCAAACTTAAAGTCAAGTTCTACTGGGCCGATTGAACTGAAACTTGGTAGGAATGATCGACTCATGGTCCTGACAAAGTGTTGTTCTTTTTTGGGTCAATCAGAAATCCAATATGGCCACCACTGCTGCCATTTTGAAAAAACAATTTCAACAAGTTCTGCTGGGCCGATTGAACTGAAACTTGGTAGGAATGATCGACTTATGGTCCTGACAAAGTGTTGTTATTTTTCGAGTCGATCAGAAATCCAATTATTTGGCTGCCACAGCTGCTATTTTGAAAATGACTATTTCAAACTTAAAAACAAGTTCTAATAGGCCGATTTAACTGAAACTCGGTCTAGGAATGATCAGCTCATGGTCCTGACAAACTTAAGTTAATGTTATACTTAACCATTTTTTACCAAAATAGGTACATAATTCAACAACAAAAAATAAATACTGTAGGACTCAGGTGACCGTTAAGGCCCATGGTCCATTTATTTATGTGGTAAACCACTGATAAGTTTTGAGATTTGCTCAAACAATGACTTTGGAATAGTGAGAAATGTGTTTTAAAATCTCATAAATATAGTACTGAAAGTTCAAGTCCTTGTCACATGACTCAATTTTCATTCTTTTTACACAACTGAATGGTATTGAACTTTTCAAGTGTTGGTAATAAATCTTCTATATAAAGTTTTGATCTGAAATGAAACTTGAAGGTTGTTGAGTTCAACACCACTGCCATATGATATTCACTTCTAATTTTTAGAACGTTCAGATAATCTTTAAAGATTTTTTTTTGAAAGTATTGAGCAACAGAAGTAGGGCCTGATAACCCAAGGTGGTGTCTATAAACCTGATTTGGTTACTGATTGATAGATTTGTGGAGAGGCTGTTTATCGCCAGGAAATATTGGAGAGTCCAGGAATTTATCAGAAAGCCAAACATTGAGCTAGTGTATCAACGAATTTGGGCTCAACTTAACTAGAAAGATATCAACTTTATAGATAAAAGGGTGTTTATGAAGCAAATTAAAATTCCTGCCCTGGTAAAATGTGTTGTCAGATAGGGAGAACAGGGCCCCTGGTATATCTACTGGATCCTGGTGGATGGTAGCCATGTTTTAGTGTCAAAATCTTCAGTGTATAAAAATTCTCAGCTTCTCCTGTGCCCTAAAACTGTACACAATCTGATTTAGATATCATAGATTTATCATCAAAATGCTTGCCTGTAGAACTTCAGAAATACACTGCAGAGCTATATTCATGGTATAGCACCTTGATCAGCTGATGTTGATATTATCTACATAGTACATTTATAAATGGTACAGAAACTCTGTTCCTGGGTTTAATGGGGATGTCTTCAAGGATATTAAACCAGTGGCAATCTCATAGCAGAAAATCCACATCCCATAAGTCAGATATCTGGGGTATTCTACTTATCCGGGCTTCTGTATCAGAATTCTTGCTGAACAATCTTTTAAGGTGCGAATAAATTTTGAAAATAGTACATGTTTTGACTACTATATTTATCCTACAATAAACCCAGGGGGTGAACTCTGTAAACTTTAGGGGCTACGATGGTGGTCAAGGAGTGGTTCAAGTGTCCACCATCTTCAATCACTGAAGCCATTCACAACTGGGTCTCAGGTTTGAGGCCTACTGTGGGGCAGTTGCCAGGTACTCACAGATCACTGAGGCCAGTGGGTTTTTTTCAGGTCCTCTGGTTTTCCTCCACCACCCAAACCTTCCACATCCTTAAATGACCCATGCTGTTATATATAGAATATACAACACAAACAAAACAAAACCATAAACTCTACCTCAAAGTAGGTGGTGAGCTTATTGCAAGATAATTAAATACCAAAATGTATTCAACAAGGGTGCATGGGCTTATTACCAGTCAAGGGCTTATTTCCAGATAAATACGGTAAATAAGGGATGGATCAAACTTTCATTCTGTTTCCTTCGTGTAAATATCAAAGATATTGCTACATATTTTAAACACTTTGGGATAACTATGTACATATCTTTATATCCTATTGGACATGGGATACCTATGTACATATCTTTATATCCTATTGGACATGGGATACCTATGTACATATCTTTATATCCTATTGAACATGGAATAACTATGTACATGTATATCTTTATATCCTATTGGACATTTGTCTTCATGTCCTGTTACATGAGCTGCCTCCACTAGAAAAAACTTCCTTTTCAAAATGTTAAAGCTAAACTGATATGTTATAAGGAATGACTAATCCATAAATGTATTCATTCTGAGGGGGAAATGGAGAAATAAAACGGCAATGACATCACCCTTGTAACTGTTTTGTACAGTTCTCATTACAGCACCACAAGCTGCCCAGACTGTAATTTCTCTTCATCCCAGAGTATTACCAGCATCTAAACCCATTGTGATTCACCACCAATACATTCATTATGTACCTTGCTTGCATCCACAGGCCGATCCATATCACAGCGACCTATTTAAATACCAACATAATGCGGTACAACAGCCAATGAAATCCTCTGATCTCAGGGATGATTTATTTACTGTTGACAAAGATTTGATCAAGATTACTTTTATCAAGATTTCGACAGCCATTTTCTGCAAGCGAAAGTTTTTTTTATTGTGTAGTAAAATTCTTTGAAATTAATACAGCTACAGATGTTTTGGTATGAAGTGAAATGGAACAGGCGGAAATGTGTTGTAGTTTTAATCTTGGTTTTCTCAGCCTATTAAACATGTTGTGATATTAATCCCTATCGTCTCT